TTAAGGTTATAATTTTTATAAATATTTGTATCTTAATAATGATTAATCTTTCAATAATAAATATTTTAATACTACATTATCTTTCTTTTAAATATTTATTAATTCTTTAAGCTAATAAACTAATAAATAACTTTAGTATTAAATAATTGAGATTAATATCTAAAAAAGAAGAATAACTCTTTTAAAGTTTTTAGCTAAGATATTTAATTAATTTTAAGTTATGTTATTATTTAATTTAAATAATTAAGTTTTAAAAGAACTCTTTTTAGACTATAATTTTTATATTAAGATATTTTTAAAGATGGTCCCCATAATTATTTTCAAATTTCAATTGAGTTGCAACTTAATTGCGTCACAAGTTGCAACTCAATTGCGCTATTTTTTTTAATTGTGGTGACCATCTTTAGATATTTTATTAATTCAGATTATACTTAATAGTTAATACAATATGAGACTCAAATTACATAGATGTATTAAGTTCAAAAAATACTATGTGAGATTTTGCAATTTTTAATATTAAAGATTATATGTAAGAATATGTTAATTTAAGAAAAAAATTAAAAAAATCATTATATAAGATTTATTTAAATCTAAAGTATTTTTATAGATAAAAAAAAAAAAAAATAAGTAAGAATAATAATTGAGAGAAATAATGAAAAATATTTTAATAAAAAATATTACTGTTTGAAATATAAAAAAAAAGATTTTTGAAAAGAAGATTTATTGCTTTATTTATAAATTAAGTCTTAGCTATTCTTAAATAAATATATTTTTTATATATAAATTCTTAGATAAAATCTAATAAAAAAGAGTTTTTTCTTTATAATATTTCATTTTATTAGTAATATTGATCTCTTTATAATTATTATAATTTTGGTAAGATATAATTTTAATTAGAATTACTATTATATACTATAATTATTATATAAATTTTGTTTGGTAAAAATTTATGTTATATATAAATTTTACAAGAAATTAGTTAATTTGATTTTTATGAAATAATTATATTACAAAAAGAAATGATTTTTAAGTTATATATCATGTGATTTTATAAATTACAAAATTATAAGTTTAATCAAAATTAAAATAATTAAAAAATTTATATTTTTATATAATTATACCTTTATTTAATTACTATTTTTAGAATAGTTAAAGTCAGTTTTGATTACGTGACTTATAAAAATATTTATTATACTATATTATACCTCTATTTTTCATTTTTGTTAGTATTCTGAAAACTTAAAATTTTTTCAGTATATGATTTTTTATTTATTATATATTATTTGTTACTAGAACTATCACTTTAATACTATAATTCTAACCAAAATATTATGATTGAATCCAACTTTAACCACCTTTTATTTTTAGATAAAATTGTATTATTATATAGAAATTTGATTATATAATTAAAAATTACCTAATTATACTATTACCATATAGAAAAACTGTTAAAAAAAATTAAACATTAGGAATTTTTAATAAAATTTTAATTTTTATTATATTTTAGTTCTTGATATTATTAAAGTAAATATAGCAAAATTTTAATTTTAGCTAAAAAATTTTCAAAGTTTGATTTTTTTTAGTAATGTTTTATATATTTAAATATAATAATATAGTAATTAAGCTATAAAATTAAAGTTATTAATAAATTGAATAATTATTTAAAGTATAATAATATTAAATTTTTAAATATTTTAATTTTTTTACTTTTTTTAAATTAATAAATAATCTTTAAAAAAAATTAATTCTAAAAATTATAGATCTTATTTTATATATAAAATAATCTATAATAAAATAAAAGACTTAATAAATATTTGATTTAAAAATTAGAAAAAAAATCTTAAATAACTTTATATTTATTTTATAATAAAATTTTAAATATTTAATAGTATTATTTAAGTTTAAAAACTTATTATTATAAATAAAACTTAAATATTTAATAAAAAATATTTATAATAAAAGAAAAAATAATTATAAAATATAAAAAATTTAAATTTTAAAATAAATATTATATTTAATAAATATAGAATTTTATTATCCTTAAATTATAGAGATTTATAGGCAAATTTGCTTACTTATTTATTATAAATTTAATTTTATTTTTAATAATATAGTTAGAATTAGTTATAATTATCTTATATTTTATAGTTTAAAATATTATAATTGAAATACTCTTTTTATAATTACTATTATATAGGCTCTTTATAATAGAAAGGAAGAAATCTACCAAAAAAAATTTTTTGAATTAATATTAAATTTAAGCTTATTTTATTAAAAAAATAATAATTTAACTTATAAATAAAAAAATTTTTTTTGGTAGTTTTTTCCTTTTCTATTGTAAAGAGCTTATATGCTAAATACTAATATCAATAAAAAAAATTGTATAAGTTTAAATTATTAGAAAATAAACTATATATTATCATATATCATGATATTTTTTAAAAAAATATTTAATTTTAGTTAGAATATTAAGAATTACTGTATTATAACTTTATGTGATATAAAATTACCTTTTTAAATGATACCTATTTCACTAAAAAATATTTTTTTCTATTTTTTTTGAAATTACTATAATTAGATAACTTTAATTTTCAAAAAAAGGAAATTTTAATTTTATAATTCTAGCTAAAAATTATAAAAACATGCAAAATACTAATTTCACTATAATCATATTTATCTATAATCACTGATTTTTGATTGATTAAAGTAGTGATTATAAATAAATCTAATTGTATTAATTATAATAGAATATTATAAAATTTATCATAAAGTATTAATAATTTTACTAATAATAAAATGATTTAATTAGTTTATAAATATATAAATTTTAAAAAATTTTTAAAATATTATTATAATAAATATTTTAAAACTTAATTTTAAAAATTGAATTATTTAAAAAAAAAACTTTTAATAAACTCAAAATTTTTTCTAATAAAGTTAATAAAATATATATTAAATTATATTTTTTATATAATTTCACTTTTTTTTAGTTTACAGGCAAATTTTTTTACTAAACAGTTTAAGGAATAAATATATTTTAAAAATTTTACTGATATATATTAATTTTCAAATTAATTTTTTAATTTTATGTTAATTATTTTTATTAATATTAATTTTTATTATAAAATTTTTTAAACCAGTTTTCATTATTTATAATAGTTTAAAATAAAAAATATCAAATATATGATACAAAAACTAAAACAAAGGATTTAAAAAATAAAAAAAAAACTTAAAACTATTAAAAAAATAATAATAACTCTTATTATTATAATAATAATAGTAAAATATAATAATATAAATGTATAGAAAGATAATATATATTAAAAAAAAATAATTAAGAACTAGAGAATAATATATTAGTATAATAGAATATTATGTTATTGAAATAAGTATTTAAATTTTTAATACTTTCTTTTTCTACTTTTAGCTAAATTTTAAAATAAATTAATTATGAATTATATTAAAATTATTAAAAAACATATAAAAGAAAAATATTGGAAATATACATTGAAAATATATATTAAAAAAAAAATATATTCTACTAAGAATTGAAGATTATTATATAAAAACTATTTTTAGAAATTAATTAGCGGCGCATTCGAAATTCGGTTATGATAAAGTCGAGTTTATATATTAATTAATTAATTTTAATTATAACTGTATTAAGTAAAATGGAACGTGATATACCGTATATAAACATGGATGTTAGGGTTAGTTTAAGGCTATTTTAGGTTTAGTTTAGTATTATTTATACAGCTATTTATTATACCGTATCACAACTATTATGTTCGGTTTTACTAATTAATCTGTGACTAATTATATTACTTGTCATTTCTTATGTTTCACAAAAATGGTTCAACAACCCGTGTACGATTAGATTAGACCTTTACATTGCTTTATTATTATTATTATTATTACTTAAAATAAATTTAAATATTTCTTTAATAAGTTACTTAAAAAATATTTATGGTAAAGACTTTAAAAAACAAAAATGAAATTTTGGAGATTACATTTTAAAAACTCTGTTAATGTAAAAATGAACTTGAATATTTATAGAAATTTAATTATTAATAATTTTAAATAATAAATTAAATTGATCTTAACAAAATACAAATATTTTTATAATTTCATTTATTTATAAATATTAAATATATTCTGATATTCGAATATCAAAACTTAGCTTCTAATATTTTATTTTTATTTATTTGTAAACGAAATTAAAGACTTTTCGAATTTTTATAAGGCCTTAAAGCTCTTGGGAAAAATTATCTAGACCCGTTATTTTTCTGAAAAATTTATTGCGGCATTACACAGTATACAAGGTATTGAAGCTTATCCATCTTAGTACAAAAGGTTTAATTAATTCTGAAACAGGATTTTAACATTTTTAATCGATCTTTGTTGACTAAATTGCGTTATTTGCTATATGCATGTCTCGTACATCAAAGTTTCATTGTTTTTTTCTGTGCTTCGAAACGCTCCAAATCTAACAGATTGATTATCCATTTTTGTAGCAACTACTAATTCATTTGCTCTTGAACCAAGATACTCACGTTGATAAGCATAACCACCAATTATTTCATTTGAATTTAAATTTAATTATTGGTTAAACGAGTCTGAATTACTTTAAATAACCAATAATCTTTACATAAACGATCTTTACACCGAATCGAAAATCCATTGGTATTTAAATTTACAAGATATATATATATACACGTTGTGACGCAGTAACAGTTTATGATAACTCGGAATAATAATTTTAAGTAAATCAATAAAAAATAACAAAAGGTTTACCAAATTAATTATACCCGTGCATAATCTTAGAATAGTGATATTCTTTTGTGTGACCTTTTAATCATTGACAAATAATATAATTGGATCAAAATGGAACCCCGGGTTATTTATTCTTTATTAAATTTCTTAATTTCTTTCTTTTTTTTACATACAATTCATAAAATTTCATAAATTTCTTAAGTGGCATAAGGTATATCATAATCATATTATTTTTCATCGTCATTCGATGTTTCGTAATTTGTCACGATTTCATTCTCCGAACCAGAATTACGTGAAATGTAACCTTCATTTAATATATAATTTACAGCGTTACCGATTCCTCCGAGTAATTGACCTTTTTATTTCAGAGAATTATTAACATTATTAATATTATAATTTATCATTTATTAGGTATCATTATTAAAGATTATTATGCAAAAAACGCTATACCTGTAGCAGCTAAAATATAAATCCAAGCGTCATCAATCTAAAGAAAAGAAAAAAATTTTTTTTCTGGTTTAAAATAAAACTAGGTAAATTCATCTCAAAATACAATTTTATAAAAACTCACGTAAAACCATCGCGTAATAAGATGAACCTGTACAGGAGTCCATTGAAGTAAAAATACGAGCATATAGCTGATAATTTTTTTCGCGGCTCTTTTCTCTTTTTTTTCAATTTCTTCACGCTTTCTCATAGCCGCGCTATCCAATTCGTCATCAGCATTAGTAATGCTTGATTCATCATCATCTCTTTTTGACATGAGAGATTGTAAAATCCGAATATAACAAAATAATATAACTATCAGCGACAATGTCACCAATACGAATAATATCGAGGAAGAAACAATTTGTCCCGATCTTCCAAAACACCTTAGAATACATAATAAATAAATAAATAAATAAATAATTCTTTTAATATAAACGGTTCTATGAATGTGTAGTATATAACATACCAGAATTTACGTGCACCGTGATTCGGAATATTTATAACTTGAAAAGTCGCGGAAATACCTATGACGATTAACCAAAGTTTATAATCGTATGGTCCATATTCAAAATAAATTTCACAACAAACGCGTGTATATGTAATCGAACTATCATGATTTTGCCAAAAAGAAAAAAAAAAAAAGGTTGAGAAAATTCCAAATGCAAAATAAAAAATTAAACAAATTAAAAAGCCTATTCCGCTTCTTCGAACTTACGCTATGACGCTATATAACGTTAGGTTTATCGTTAGAATTCCCCAATGAACCGTACTGATGATACGACACATTGGTTGATCCCAAATTTGAGCAAAAATTGCCGTATGTATCTACATTGTTGCGCAGAAGAATGTTAGCGTACGCGTGTTTTATCGAAAATCATTCAAAAATTGACAAGTACTTACAATATTTATGAATAAGGCAATGTTAATGAGGAAATCTAGGTTAACGCGTGTTAAGGAAAAATCAAAATGTAAATCTTGAATTAACATGGTACAGATTTGGGAGAATTGTATCACGGTGCTTACCAGAAAAAGCAGTATAAAATGGTAATAAATATATCATTGGCAAGGATCTTTTTTTATTTAATATCCACTGCCTGTAGGTCCGGTAAAATACATAAGAACATCCGCATAAACTCAGTATAGTCATTATTATCGTTACGTATACCACGGTAAGAAAATCTTTTAAATTTTCGGGTGAATCTAATCGTGGAGGTTGAGGTGATTTGTCCACGTCGTTTTCTTCATCATATGCTAAAGCATTGAAGAACAGTATCGGTAGGATTGAAAGTATTGTAAGGAGGTGATTTGATTTTGATTTATAAAACATCTTTATAAAAAAACGAGTGTATGTTTAAAAAGAATGAATGACTTTAAATATCGGTTGAGGGACACCTTCTTAAGGGTAATGATAACAATAATAACAACAATTGGTTAACTAAACGCGAATTCGTTAGTTTTATATAAATAAATGTTGTTATTATTTAGAATAAAATTTGTAGCCCGCCTAAGTTGCGTTACAAATAAATGAGTATCCTTATCAGTATGCTTCGTATTTCATTACCTACATCAATCATGATGGGTGTCACAAAAGAATTGAGTCAGCCTTTATGGGTTTAAAACGTTTATTTACCCACCTTTATATGTAATGTACGATTTTCTTTTCTAATCTGTCTAAATAAAGTAACCCCTATGAAATATTGTTTATTTCTTTTAATCTTACTGAAAATTCAAAAAAAAAAAAAAAAAAAGTTTTTCCAATTTGGTCAATTGCCGAAATTCATTGACGCTAAATACAATTTCTAAAATCTTTGCGAAAAAGTCTCCAATGATATTTCTAAAAATGAAGTTTACATGAAATAGTCTCCAAGTTGTGAAGTTTGAATCAGAAAAATGTATCCGCTAAATTTGCGTAAAGTTCACGAATTTTATTTATCTACGGATATGTATGTATTTTATGTGACACAGACAAAATCCATGAGATGTGTAGGATGCATTATTGACAGCAGCTAATTAAGATGTAAAGATGTTGATTGTATCACGCGTTCTTAACTTTACGATTAATGATAATAAACTTAGTCATCAAATTTATTAAACTTAATCTAAAAAGAAATTAGTATGATGAAATTGTAAAATATTTTTGGGAAAAACGTGGCGCAGAAAAATATCGGATCTATTCGGGTGAATTCTAAACCGGGAAGAGAGAGATATAAGTGTTTTTTTTTTTTTTTTTGCGATAAAAAAATAATATCTATTAATATATATTACATTATCATACATTAATATCATCTTTAAAATTTATCTTATTGTTACTTTGACTTTCATTATTTAATATGATATTGCTATCTTCGTTCTTATCCATAATATTTGTATCATAGGTATCCTTAACTTTGCTTATTTCAGTTACATCATCATCAGTATTATTCTCATTTGTGATTCCTAAACATTCGATAATTGGGGTTTCGAGTCCTGTTGATGCACTAACAACAATTCCTTCATTTATCATGTATTGAATTGCATTGCCAATTCCTCCCATTGACTTTCCTATCAATCGTTGAATTTAATTAAAAATTTAATATATTATGTTATGTTTCATATTTTTTTTTTTTTTTTTTTAGGTATAATTGATGTTACGTACCCATAGCTGCTAAAATGTAAATCCAAATACCATCAATCTATATAATATATTTATTTAATTTTTTTTTTTTTTTAAAAAAAAAAATAAAATAAAATAAAATAAAATAAAAATTAATAATTAAAAAACATTTTTTTTTTTTTTTTTTTAAAAAAAAAGATATTTCTAATATAAGTATTTTACCCCCCGAATTATGCATGCAACATAAATTAGTATAGGAATCCATTGTAAAACAAATACTAGGACGTAACTCATGATTTTTTGAGAAGCTCTTTTTTCAATTTCAACACGATTTTTTAAAATGATACTTTCAACATTATTGTCATCAAGATTTTCTGATGATGTTGATGTTGACACGGTGTAACAAGAACCTCGAACGTTCATTACTTCTTTTAATATGCTGGCGTAACAAACTAATATGATCACTAACGTAAGAGATATCAATACAAATAATATGATGGTGGAAATGATTTGTCCTGATCTCCCAGTACACCTACAAATAAAATAAATAAAAAACTAAATCTCTTATTTTTGGTTAACTTTATACAGTATGTGATGGACTTACCAATATTTACGTGGTCCATGATTTTTGTAGTTCAATATCTGAAATATTACCGATAAAAACAAGACCAACGACCAAAGTTTATAATCGCCTTTACCATAATTAAAGAACATTCCACGGCAAATTCGAAGATATGTTAAAATTCTATTTCGATTAAAAGAAATTTTTTTTTTTTACATCATGACTTTTATCATAAAATTATTAGATTGTTTAATGCTTACGCTATGGTCCCGTATAACGACAAATTAATTGAAACAAAGAACCAATTAACATTGCTAATCACAGCACAAGCCGCTCCTTTCCATGCATACCCGTAGATCATTGGGTGTATCTACTCAAAAGAAAATAGTTTCGAAATCAAATTAATCAAATTCAACAACTTTACAACTTAAAGGGTGTATATAATAATGCTTACGTTATTTGTGAAAAGAATCATATTTAAAAGAAGATCTGAAAAAAAAAAAAAAAAAAAAAAAAAAAACACGTTCAACAATATGCAACATGATTAGATGAGAAGAATCAACATTACCTACCTGTACAGGCAGTGTAAAACGGCAACTTGTGAATCATGTTTAATGAATTTTTTCTTAATTTATTAAACTTCCATTGCTTATATGTTCTATAAAATACATAAAAGCATCCGCTTAAACTTATGAAAACAATTGTCGAAGTATAATATACTATTGTATGTAAATTCTTTCTATTATCGGGTGTATTGAGATATTTTGGAACATCTTGATTTTCTTTTTGTGCTAGGACGCCAACGAATAGGATTGTTATCATCATTAATTGCGATTTGGAAATAAAAATGTTGGGTAGCATAATGTCAGAAAATAAATTGACAAGGAAAGAAAGTTATAATATCTCTTTACGTAAGTGAACCTTGAAATAAACAAATAAGTATTGGGATTAAATGCTAATTTCATTAATTTTATATCATTTGGCGATGGGCGTACTGGCATTTACGCGAATCATTATGTGTTACAAACAAATTTAAAGATACTTGCCACATTGCCATATAAATCCAATTCGATTGGTTATTATCTTCTTAATTTTTAACTTGTTCGGAACTTCCATTTAACAAAATTCTTGACATTTCTAAAAAAGAAGAACTTTAGTAATTGTTAATTTCTTTTTTTTTTTCTTTTACAAATAATCATTATCATATGTTATTTATTTACTGTGTAATTTATGTAAAATGTTTGTTTTTTTTTTAAAAAAAAAAAGTCCTATGCTGTTAATAACTTACTTTGTGTCATATTATTCCACCATACACGTTTTGAAACTGGCATGTTGTAATTAATTCAGATCGTTATAGTCCCATATGGTAATTAACGTCGACATTATGCGATCAAAATTCCCCATTAAGAAAATATTCGGAGTCCAATAATTCAACATCTCGATGAAGAAATCTTACTAATTTAGTAAGGTCCCCCCACAAATTAATCAATGATTTCGAGTTTAAAATTAAAAATCAAAGGAAAATTTACGTATCACAGTAAATGTTTCCTCCTCCTCTTTTACAAAAACAATGGTAGCAAAACCGGTAGTAACCGACAACTTGTTGACGATCTTATATCTAAATTAGTAAAACCTTTCCGATCCTTTTAAGACAATATTATTAATAATTTGACCCAACTCTTCAAAAGGATTCAATGAATATGCAACAATAAATTTGAAGTTTATCATGATCAACATCTGTTTTGCCCCTAAATATCGAAAAAATTGTAATCTGCGTAACTCACTACCTTATCCGCTTGCAGTTTCTATATTATACTGGTACATCTAGAAAAAAAGATTAGATTAGATTCAAGTACATGACAGTCATGAAATACTGTAAATTCATTATTTATAACCCGGGAAAATTTTGTGAACATAATTCGTTCAAAAATTTTCGAAATTCGAAATTCTAAGATAAATAAATCATTTTGGTAAAATTCTTATCAAAGTTATAAGTTATTTTTATACAATTATATATCTCTTTAACATGTCAAATTCATGTCCAATGATATATTGTTATTAATTAGCGCATGCATGCAGGACCCTGCATAGATTGTCGTGAATTAAAATGTAAATATTTGTCCCCCTAGATGTGTCATGATCAAAATGTGGCTAAATAAAAAAAAAAAACACAATAACTTTTTATATATACGGTTTCCGACTTTTCATTTCGGATTCAGCTTTTTGTAATTTTTGTAAACGCCAAGCATCATGAGTTCGAAAATTATTATATAAATATTTCCAACTTCCAAAACCCGACCCGCATTCATATAATTATGATTTGTTGCTACAAATCATACGATTTATATGCAATTAAAATTTTGGGAAGGATCAAATTTCGCGTGATCGATTTGTCTACAGCGTTATTATTTATGTTACAATTATCCAATTACAGTATATATGGTTGATATTTTCCTCCGAGTTTTCCGAAAACACATTTATTATATGAAAAATAATATTCTGGTTTTTTTGCAATCAATTTATAAATATAACAAGGCGGTAGGTATTGTCTAAATAAACTTAAAAAGATTCTTATAGGCTTTGAAAATTTCCCTGAAGAATAAATAATAAAATAAACCAATTGAAATCAAAAATCATCCTAAAGAAAATTTTTCAGACATTGATGAAATTTGATTTTATCAATCAAAAAAAAAAAAGTTGTAAAATTAAAATAATTAAAGCATTTCTAATCAATAATTTGAATATTTCCATTTATTATTATCAATTTAATACAGATAGTTTTTTTTTTTTTTTAGATTTTCGTTAAAATTAAATAAATATTAAGTAATAAATCTTATTTTTTATATATTAAATTAAACCTTTTTTTTTTTATTAATATTTTGATAAATATGATAAAGATAGATCTTTTGAAATAAATAAAATGAATTAAAAATAGTATATTTAATTTTTAAATATTTAATAAATAAATAAAAACTAATGTAATAAATATTATATTATAATTAAGAAAATACGGGATGCATGAACACGGTCATGTGATATACAGTATATAAACTTAGTAAACTTAGTTTTATTATTAATTTTAGCAATTAATAATAACTGTAGTAAATATTTTAATTATGCAACAAGCGCAGAAATTTTAATTGTGATCTTTGTGTGATTATTGTGACTTTTTAAATATATATGTAAATGATTTTTAAAAAAAAATAATACTTAAAATTTTTTATTTTAAAATAATAATAATAATAATAATAATAGACGAATTTGAAAATTTTGAAATTTTAGATAATGCCTTTTTAAAGAACCTTCAAATAATAGACTTGTTAAAAAACCTAAACTTGATACCAAAGATAGATCAAAGTATAGTTTTGTTTAGAAACCTTTTATCACTATAGTTGACTTTAATTACTATCAAACAATTATAACTTCAGTTAAAAAATCTGTTGATAAATGTAATCATAAAATAAAGTATAGATCATCAATTACAAATATAACCAATTATTTATATAAAGAATATAATAATAAGATTAATCATCTTACAGAAGAAGAAAAGATAAATACTTATATATTTAATTTAAAATTATATTATATAAAAATTTTTATTAATTAATTTATTTTATTTTATTTTTAATAAACTTAAATTTAAGAATAAAAAGATATGAAAAATTATATTATTCTATCTTATTTTATAAGTAAAGTCCAAAAGTTTTTTTGAAAAAAAATGTTTAAAGTTTATTATTGAAAGTGAGCAAGTAACTATTTTATATTTTAGAAATGAAAGTTTTAAAAATTTTTTTAGATTTAAATTTTTTTTTTGAAATTTTAACTGATAAATTTTAAATATCCTATTAAAATGGTTTTTTTTAATAGAATAAAGATGATTTAAAAAATTTTTGATAATAGACAAAATTAGTTTAATTTATGATTTTTGGATATTTAAAGGATAATATGATTACATTAAAATTATAACATATTAAATATTAATAAATATATTATACAAGAAGTATTTTAACTCTTTAACATATTTAGATCTATATACTAATAAAGTTATCAAAGATAAATTGAAAAAATTATATTTAATTAAAATATAAATAATAAAATATTTTTTATTACAACTGATAATGATAATAATAGAATTTCATGTATTGCTTATAAATTATAATTAAATATTAGAAGAATTTTAAATATTAATTAAAATATTTAAATTTTTGTTTTAAGGATTAAATATATTTTTTTAATTTACTTAAATAATTAGAATATTTAATAATAATATAAGAAAGTTTAAATTTTGTAAAAACTTATAAAATAATTAAAGATATTTTAACTAGATAGAATTTTTCTTATTATTTTCGAATAAAATTATTAAAATTAAAAAAACTAATTAATAAATTAAAAGTTAATTATCTCTTTAAATGTATTATTTAATAATTAAAATTATTTTAAATATTTTAAAATAACTTATTTAAAAATTAATATTTTTATAATAAATTTTATGATATTTTTTAAGTAAAAATTCCAAAAAAAATATAATTAATTAGTAGAGTTCTGAATGGGTCAGGTCAGATTGAGTAATTAATTTAATCTGATCCAAGTATTAGATTAAATCAAATTATAGGTTAGGTTACAAGTTACATCAAAAAATTGAAAAAAATAGTTTTTTGAGATATCTTGATATTTAATGATTGATAAATGATATATTATAGTTCATTAAATTTATCTCAATATGATAAATTAAATAATAGCTATTTTATCTCAAATGAATTAATATTAATGAAGTTATACACTATTTTAAATTTATATTTTAATCTAAAGATAATACTATAACTAGTTACAACTGATAATAAATAAGCATCATATGATTACAAATAGTTGTAATTAAAGATAACGCTACAACTGGTTGCAACCGGTGATAAATAAGCATTACAGAGTTGCAACTAGTTGCAACATTAATAAAAATTGAGTTGCAACTAGTTGCAACCGGTGACAAATAAGTATCACATAGTTGCAACTAGTTATAGCGTCATCTTTAGTTGTAATACTATCTTTATCTATAATATGTGTTTTAAAATTTTTATATAATAAAATTAAACAAGTTATATTTTAATAACTAATAATATTTAATTAATAAATATAGCTCATTTAATTTATTTAATCAAATGATAATTATTTTATCTTAAATAGATTGATATTAGTAAAAAAATTATATTTTGAATTTTTTAATTAAAAAATTCAGATCAGGTTAGATATCCTACTTGACCTGATCTGAATTTTTAGATCAATCCATCAGATTATCTAATTTATCAAATCAAATTTAAAGGTTTATTAATTAATGATATTTTTTTTTTTTTTTTTTAACGATGTAGC